TCCTCAGCATCATTTTTGATCACCTTCTATTGGTGATTTTGCAAAGACATATTTTTATGCCATTTACTCTTCTCTATATTTTCACTGCATATTTTTTTTGCAATTGCGCTTTATCCATGGCTACTCTATTAAGTTAGTGAGGCCATAAGCAGTAGCAACATCAACTGTATTTGAATGCGGCTTAGGCGACTTTTTTTTATTTTCATTAATTTTTCCTATTATTTAACAGCAAAGCAATGGAACAGACTAAAATGCATATTTATATGAGTGAATATATTAGAAGCAGACGTTGAGTAAAACACGTCTAACCAGTTTTTCAATGCAGTTTTAACTGTCACCTTTTGTTTACTTTTAGCATGAGTGTTTGTAATATGTTTTTGCTGTTAATATTATTTCCTCAACTTCGTCTTACTGTCATTAGATTTCACTGCTTTCACATTATTCACTAAATGGAATTTAAACAATCAGTTTAAATGATTTCGGTAATTCGATTATATTATGTAATATAATCAATATCACGGTAGATCACATGGCGATCATACAATATCAGTTTGCGAACAGCCCTATAATTTCAGGACAACAACTGATATTGGACGACCTTAACAAAAGTCGCCTTGGAGTGATCTACGACCTCGATTTAGTTTACAATATCATTGGCAAACACCGGTCCTTTATGGAGATTAACCTCCACAAAATTTAACTAAGCTCAACGATTTACCGTTTTTGTGTCCATCGACGTCTAAAGTGGTAAAAACTCACTCTTGGTTGAAGTTTGTACATATATATTGTTCACCACGGATATTGCTACATGTGACAAAGTAATGATGACAAATTTTGCAGATGATACTGCTATAATAAGTCAGTGCAATTATCCTGACAAAATGTACAATCAAAACAGAGTTTGAACAACATCTTCAACTTATAAAAAACGGCGTATGAAAGTTAATTTAGTTTTGCATTAAAGTCGAAAACGTGCTCTGCTCTTAATCTCAACAATATACCTATTCTACTAACAAAAAAAAGACATCTTAAGTAGGCGCTTTGCCTGGAGGTGACACAGTTTCGAACAAATATTATAGATCAAACTCAAATCTGTCATAATGCAGTCGGTTTGAACAACAACATCCTTCCCTGCAACTGATGATCGTATAAAATCCAGTTTTGGATACACTGTGGTTCATACGTAATGAAAATATCCGCAGGGATCTCAATTACGCTAAGTAGAGTTTTAAACCAGCGTAATGCCTTGGTTTCTAACTGAGGGTAAGAGAAACGATACGCTCGCTGCCCATTAGTTTAAGATTTTATTACTTTTAGTGTGGCTTACCATTTCGAAGCAGATTCAATAAATATATACCAATGTCATTAAAAAAACTTAAGTTTCCTGCAGGGTATTGTCTTTTTGCATGAAACATGCAGTTAATATTCATAAACAGTATAGGGTAACACGAGCTTATACGTAAGTAATCAACTACATATGTATATACTTACTTAAACGCGAATGTAAGACGCTCACTACATAATATTTAGGTTCTCACAACCTTTTTGCATTTCACGCCAAGCTAACTTTCTCGCATGCAACCTCATTTCAGTTGGTGTAAGCATTTATGAGAACGCGGAAGTCGATCGCTTGAAGTTATGGCGTCGTATTTGAGTATATTTCTAATATTGGGTGTATTTTTGACGCTAAAGGCATGCTGCATAAAACTTGCAATATATAAAAATAATAAATAATTTTATATAATTAAAAATTGTATTTAATTTGAAAATAATGTTCAAATTATAATCCTCAGTGCGTTTCAACATATCCACTAGAGGACTTCAATGAGCCAGAAGTTATCACGTTGCGGCCAACGCAGGTCGAAGGTGCAACGGCAGCAACAGAGAGAGCGCAGAGAGGCAATGGAGATTATTTACCTTTGAAAAGAGAACATTGGGCTGTGTTATGCGCTGCCATTTCTATATGTTTTGTACTCGCCACAATTTGTAAATATATGTTTTGCCCAAATGTGCGTATTTGTGGTTGTAAACAAGTGGAATTGCAACGCAACGACAATTTGTCGAACAGAAGAGAATTGCGACCGCAATACTCGTGGGATGAAACACGTAAAAAGTAAATTCAGTTATTTAGTTTTTAATCCAAAAAGTGGACATAAATTAAGAAATATGTAGTTCTGGAAATTTAGTGTATATGCACATATAATACATATTAGTACATATGGATGACTAACAATATTATTCTTAACAGCAACAACCTAATTCAAATAACAACAACATGTAAAAAAAAATAATATATTCCTTAGAATATAGTGAACCATATATACATATTTGAAATTCTTGGAAAATGCGAACTAAATGAAGTTTTTAATTGAATTTTATTAAACATATTTGAAATTATTTTCATAATATGCTCATGATGTATATCCTTAAAAATTGTTGGCTTAGTAATTTGTTAACTAAATGTACTTAATAGTTTGCTACATGCAGTTTAAGCAAGCTCTTAAATAAAATTAGTGGCCATTGTCATGTTTTATTCATTAATAATTTAAATAAATACTTACTTAATATTTAAGGAAGCATAGAAAAAATAAATAGAGAGTAAAATTTAAAATATACAACGTTTTTATGAAGTTCACTTTTTCACAAATGACACGAAAGTTATGGCTTAGAATCCTAACTTATCCAATTTGGTAATATTAATCGGGCATATGTTGGAAAAAAAGAAAAGTGAAATACAACAATAAGTTTACGCAATTTTTTCACGCAATGAAGTTGAATTCTAAGTGGTTCTTATCTGTAATTTTACTTTCAATGTAAAAGAACTAAAGTTAAAGAAAATAAAAACTATTCGAAGCACTTTAAAAGACTGTAAAAAGAGAATTATGTCTCCGTCATTTGTCACATTTAAATGCAACTTTCGTTCCATACATATATATTTTTCAAATTGCTGAAGTGTTTTTCGGTTTTGATGAAGGAAGACGGCAATTAGAAAAAATAATATATTATAACTTTGGATATTGGTCAAACTAGACTCTGTCCTTAAGAAAGTACAAATTATTACAAACTCTGGAAGTTTTTGTGAGAAAATTAAGTACAATAAAATTTGGTGAATTTCGTTATCGTGTAAATAGCTTTTGTTCCTACAGGTGATTTCTCAAAAATATTGTGAAATTAACAAAATAGTTCAAGAAAATGCCGCAGTTATTTACACTGCAGTTATTCATTTTCAGAATGAGGTCACGCATTATTTCATAGACTAGAGTTATCCCGTTCTAAGGTAGTTTTAGTTTAGTATATGAGAGAGATATACAAGTTTTCGATATATTTGGTAGGCAAGATGTTATCTACGTTCCAGATGTGAAGCAAATCGAACTTTGAACACGATTTTTCTAAAAAAATTTCCGCAAACTTACCTTTATAACGAGCCTACCTATATTCTATATGAAACTTAACCACCGAAACGACCCCTGGGGCACATGGCGGGAGAAATAATATTCCCAATGGTAATGTGGGCCTAAAGCGGGGCGTACCTCATATACAGAACATACGCTACAAGTTTAAGATCTATACGATCTGACTTTGGATTGAACCGTTAGTCATTCAGGACTTTATATATTTAGACTACCGGTCGATTTCCAATCCGTGCAATGGCACAAACACAAAACACATGGAAAAAAATATGCGACACCTAAAACTGTTATTTCCCACTGTTTGCAAGAGGAAAATAGCAATTCTGTGTCAACTGATCAACGAACAACTGTCTGAGTAGAATTTGCAGAAATCATGCAACTGAAGCTCCCCCGTTCTCCAATAAATTTTGCTAAGAAATATTTGCATAGCTCGGAATTCCTAGACTATGATAACCCATTATGTCGTCTATTAGCCCCACTACTTGTTCTGTCCAAATCTGCAATTGTATGGCGTAAGTCAATTGAATTGCAACGAGTAGATAATTGAACTAGCACTTTCAGGAATTAGAAAGTCTACACGTATATACAAATGTGTTTGAGAAGCTTAGATCTATGATCAAAGCTATAAATACTAAAAATTTGTTTAGTAGGAAAATCTTAACGTAGTAGGTGGGAATTTTTAAAAATTAATATATATAAATAAGCGACTGGATGTAAAGGGTAGTTCGAAAGCAGTTTTTATTTTTACCGGTTAAGTTGTGAATGTTCGAATTATTGCTTTAATTAAAAAAGAAACTAGATTATTTATAAATGCAGAAATGTCCAGTATCTCTTAGCTCAAAACCTTATCAACAACAATTTGTAATTTTAAAAAAGTATTATTCTTCTATAATGGAGTTAAAGACGAAACTATTAGTTTGTCTTTAATTAATCAAGCTACGAATAATTAACCATTCATCAACTAATTAAGCATATTTAATGTGACTTAATTTTTCAAGGGTTAAAACTAGCCAGGTGACCTTGAACTATTCATAAACATTTTTCTTAATTGGCTAAAGTTCCGTCTAACAATTTTTGAATCCCTGACTTAGGATCATTATCTTTGAAACAGACGTAAGGACAATGAAGAGATAAAAATCTTTAAGTAACTGACAATGTTAATCTTACTTTGATGATGTTTCTGATATTCACTTGCCTTTAACAAGAATCCTTTCAGTGATTATAGTTTAGTTTCTCCACAAAATATCGCAAAAACTAAAAAACTGACGTTTCTATATTAGTTAATATATCGATATTGAGGAACTAAGCCGAAGAAATAGAAGTCGAGTCAATATACGAGTATATACTAAAGTTCTAGCACGCATTTTTGTTTTTGAATTCGGCTCATCATAGCAAATATTTCGCCGTCGTTCAATAAATTTCTCGCCGTTTCTGAGAATTTACTTTATAGATGCTTATAGATGGATTGATTTGATTAGGGAAACAGCGGTTAAACTAGTTCTTATTAGATCACGTGTAGCCTACATTAATGAGAACTCTTAAAGATAACAAAATTGATAATTATTGTTTTCTTTGTATTTATTATAATAGACAATATAAAATTGCTAAAGCAAATATAAAAGTCTCAGTTACAATTTAACAACGAAGAAGACAGTTCATTTTGTAGTAATTGAAATGAGCCGCAACACTAAGCTATTTTTATTGCTCAGCGCTTTTCTGGCGTTGCAGGTAAATTTTTATATATAATATATGTTTATATATATTAAATTTAGTTTGAAAAATAAATTTGAATATATTTATTTATTTATTTTATTATTTTTCAGGCCTTCTCTTTTGCACTACCAGTGAATGATAGCAAGGAATCTGAGGCTTCTACAACAGACCAATCAAAGGAGAGTTTAATACCCAACACACCAGGCGTACAAGCTTTTAAAAAAGATTTAATTAATCAATTGCTACCTTCGGTTTTGGGTGAAGAGGATATAGAAAATGGTGAATACACAGCCCAGCTGTCATCTGCGGAAGTAGATTTGCCTTGCACAAATGAAACTGTCACAGTTGAAGTGATAAGTAGTAGTTTTCCATTGCCAGAACGTTTCTTCCATGCACCAAAGCGTTGTTCTCAGGAATAAATCTGAGTATGAGTTTTCAATTGTATAATTGTGTAAAAAACGTAAGCTTACCAAATTAAATAGACTAAAATAAAACAAAATAAAATCAAATTAAAGTAAATAGTGTGGTAATTATCTATTCATTGTTGGGAATTCCTGTTCTGAAGTAATTATCAGTGAATATAATTGCACCCCATCGATCTGTACATCTTGGTATGAAATCGTATATATCCAATATTTTCTAAAGTCCCAATAGCTGGGTGATCCCTTGATTTAATTTTTTTAAACAAAGTGTGGTTATTACTGGCGATTGATAAATATATCACCAATACTATTGGCAAGAGATTGAGTATTGGATACTCACTTGGCGTGCTTCTCAGTGCACTTCTGATACACATTAACTCACAACTTTTAATCTGATTCACCAAGTTGTATATAAAGCTGGCCTCAACACAATCGCCTCGTTAAGTAGCATTGGTCTTACTACTAATACGCAGATCCATCGCCAAATCTTGGGGTTAAGACCTTTCCTTCTTTTGCATGTATAGAGGGCACCAGCGGCCTGTTGATAATATTATATTTATTATCATTTCAGCTTAGTTTCTTTTCTAAGATGACTCTTAGAAACATGACCTTAGCCCCAGACTAAGTGAAATACTGTCGAAGATCTTATATCTCCGAGTAACTAGCTTAATTTTGTTTGTTCTGTGTCAAAGACTCATTGCGTAGCCTAGGAATACGCTGCACCAAGTCACAAAACATGCAGAGGTAATAATATTTCTTTCCCTAGGCCCTATTCCGTTTACGTTTATTGTGAGGTTCCATAGTAATGACGAGCGAACTTCGCCCTGTGTCTGTGCCTCTTCTTATATTACTGGATACTTGCTATTCTGCATGGTTAGCGGTTATAACCCTACTTAGTAGCATGTGGTTGATGAGACCCACTCGACACGACAGAGTTCTGAATTTCAGAAAGATTTTTCAAAGGTAACTGGTCCAGGAAGTGCTGTTTCTGTCAATTTTTTCTTCTGATAGGCGTACTGATCATTTGAGAGTAGCCTCTTATCATTGGTTCGAGAATTATAGTTTACTATGGTCCTCTTAATGATTTGGGCTCCAAGGAGAAAGATTTATGGCTATTATGGGACTTTCCCTGCTCTGGGAATGAAGACAACTGAAACCCGTCTCCATACCATTGGTATTTGTTAAATTCTAACCAGATAAAAAACGAGTATAAACCTATAACCCATCTTGGTGACAGCTCTCATCTCATAGGAGTCTGCGTGTTTCCAGGGAAGTGAGTATCTAGTAGTGGTCCCATAGTTTACTTTCAGAGATAGTCCAAGTATTGTCCTGTTTTTGATGAAACCCTATTGAATTTGGGGATTTTGACATAACCGTCCTTAGCATAGTGGCTCCGCTATTACATCTTTTCAGGCTTACCAAAAAAATGTGTTCACTGCTTACCTATATAAATAATTAAAAAAAATTTCTCTTTCACATATATAATATTATAAATTAATAATATTATATTTTTTATTATATTAAATTTTTTATGCAATTCAACAAATCAAATCAAATTAACTGTGCAAATAAATTGGCGACTGTTGAAAAATGTTTACTCGAGTATTTGACTATAAATCCGATTATAACGAAAATTCAATAGGTGACATTTGAAAGTAACTACGTGCCTGCATACAACCATCAGACTTTCATTGTGTCATTAGCACCAGAGAGTAGCGCCAAGTAATGTCCACTGCAATCAATGATGATAAAAAGTAAAAACTTTCCATTTAAGCTCAACAAAAACCCATCTGACAAAAGACAAAATTAAATTTCGCAATACAAAAGTAGTCACAATGAATAGAAGTAAATTTCAATTGGTATTTATTTATTCGACGGTACGTGAATGAGGGTACACACCAAATAGTTTTGCATTTCGATGGACACCTCCAACAAATGAAGGGATCAACAGCTTGTACTAAGCCACTTCCGAACGGCTGATGGTTTTTTGAGAAGCCTTTATTTCATGTGAGAAAAACACTCAGAGAGGAGAACGTTCCCTGTTGATGGACGACCACAATAAGAAAATTTAACTTAATTACATATTCAAATTAAATTCCCATAACTTTTGGATGTTGGTTTAACCAGGATTTGAGCGTCGATATCCAACGGCGGGAAAAAAAGGTCCTTCCCGTGGAGGAAATCTAAGAACAAAGATTACCGTTAAACTGGATTATTTTGCCTGTACAATGATCTGCGATAAAAAAAATCAAAAATTGACAATATGATGGCGTCTTAAAAAGAATAGTCGAATTTTACCCAAAATTTTATCGTTTTTGGTCTGCCAAAATTCGATTTTTTGATCAGATCAAAAATCGATAGGTCATTGTACGGAGAACTATATATAGAACATATAAAAAAAATCGATAGTGATCGGATCATTTGTTTTTGAGTAATCACTCCAGCAAATTCGGAAAATGCTGTTTCGCAACAAACGCGTTTAAAGATAAAATTATCGTTTTCACTGTGACTGTAATGAGACTCTCTCTTTAAATTGCTATAACTCAAAAACTATTTGAGATATCGATTTGAATTTTTATTCGGTTTTAATAGAAATAACACACTAGCTGTGCTCCTTAAAGCAGTTACCAAAATAAATTTTTGTTTCGTTTTTACCCGCAGTGAACAGCTGTCGTTAATCTTAAAGCGTTAACATACAATGTTAAATGTTAACTGAGCCGTTAAATCACAACAGGCAGCCATTTCAAATTTTAAGTTAAAAATGTACTTATGTGGTTTTATTATTAACTGTTTTATTTCGTTCCGATCACATGGCGCCGAAACGAAACAATATCATTTTCTTAAGTTTATTTTTCATATTTACAAATGCCATTGTTTCGTTAGTTTGGCATCTGTGGTTTTTGCATATGATTTGTTCTTCAAGGGGTGTTATACTTGGTTGGTTTGCATATTTGCCGTTATCGTTGCGCCTGTTTATAGCTCATTGCCTTTTCCGTTTCCGGTTTGACGAACGTTTTAACGAGTCGCGACTGCTTATCAAAAAAGAAAAATCAAAGCAAAGTGGTAGAAAAAGTGATTCAGATGCATATAAAGTGCAATGTGTTTTTCAAAACAGTCAGTTAACTAACCTTTCTGTTGAGAATTTCAAAAGAACACTTATGAATTTGAAGAAAACTGTAGGCGTGAAGCCTTGTCTCGAAATCCAATTTTTATCCACTTTATTTCATTTCTATCTTCATCTTTTTATTTATACTATTATTTAAGTTTCAGTTTCTGCATTTTTCATACATAAAATAGAATTAGTAAAAGTATTCCTTTTAATTATTATTATTTATTCTTTCTTAAATTCCATCTGTCTGTACTCATCGCGTAACTCAGGCATAGTCGATGCATTTTTTCAATTAAATAAATTCCGCTCTGTGGCACCTCTGTTAATAAATCTTTAATATACTTATGTAATAACCAAAATGACAAACCCTGCCATTCAAAATAAAAAACAATTACGGAAATGTACTGCATACATATATGTTTGTGTGCAAATTTATAAATATACATAATACGCATTTTCAGACATTTTGTCACCATTTCGTAAATATTCACATCTGGTCGCCTGTCTGTGGTGACTTCCCATTAAAAATAATATCAAATAACAACAATATTAACTTTTATACTCCACATCCGGTTTACCATTTTTAATGGCCAAGGCGAAATAAAAATTCAAATGAATACTCAATTCATCTGCGAGCAGGTAAGTGTGTGTATTTCCTGCTTTATTCAGGCTTAACAGAGTGTCCATATGGCACTTTGCTATAGAGCCTAATTCAATTGGCTTTTAACAGTCTCTTTTTTTGTGGAATTTACGTTGAATTGAGTTGTTTCAAGTAGCCCTTATTCATGTATGGTTGGTCTGAAGTATGTAGGTAGATTTAAACAATCATTTATCGGAACCATCCAGATCGAACTACTACGACATGTAAACAGCCATTATATCATAATTGAGATTTTAGTTAAAATATTTGTCAAGGGCATTAGGAATAACATAATCATATTATCAATTTAGCTTCCATACATTATGGTAATTAAGAATATGGTTACGACATTAATTTTTAAATAATTTCCAGATGTTTGATATTTGAGCCCCTGAAGATGATAAAATATTTCTCGAAACGTTGTGCAATTAGTGGAATAAATTAGTTTTATTTGCCCTAGCAAAATCAGATCAGCTAAGCCTAATTAATTAGTAAAATCTTCAAGTACAGTGATGTTCTTTAGACAAAAAGCTAAGAGCAAAACGCCGCCTCAAAAGTAACTATTACATTTCATAAAATTGGCGCCTTGTAACCGCTGAAGCGGTTTTCGGCAGAGTTCTCCTTCAATTTGTGGATTGGCATCTTGAAAATTTACATTAATGTTTTGTTTAAATTAATTTTCTATAACTTTTGGATGTTGGTCGCACCGGGACTTGAACCCGAGCCTTCCGAATGATACTACACAAAGCTAACCACTCGACTAACCCGGCTGCCCAAAGCAACTGCAAATATGAAATTTTATATTGTTCATTCGTATCTACAAATAAAAATTGTACACGAAAATCATCGAAATCGGTAAGCTTCGTCATTTAGGCCTCTCCAAGAATTTTTTCCGATAAGAAGAATAATATTTAGTGCTAAAAGAAAATATAAAAAATGATCATGGTCATGAAAGGGTTAAAGACTTCGGTATTATCGAAGATAGCTCGTCCTTCTTGTTCTTAATTGATTGTTCATTTGCTGCTTTGCTACTATTTCAATTTAAATTTCACTTCGTTTGAGCGGCTTACATTTTTGTATTTATTTTTCAATGTCGCAGTATAAAGCCTCGTCAATTTTACTTCTTTGTTTGAATGTAAGAATTTCTTTTTGAGTAAATTTCCTTTAAAAAAAATGCAAAATTTTCATTGTCAAATGGAAAATATACTGTAGTTCTGCCAAAAAGAATTACATGAGTTCTGGGTTGCTACAATTACGGCACCATATGAGTTTATTACTATTGATGAAAGGCTTGAATTTCAATTTGCCTTTTCATTTCATTTTAATATACGT